TTGCCCCGCAGCCTGGCCCCCACCCGCGCCGACTCAACTCACTTCTTGTCAGGACAGATCCAGTCCCCGTCACTGACACGAAAATTCTTAGCTGACATCTTGGGCCCCAACGAGCCCTCTAAGCGCCCAGCAGCGCCGCCGCCGCCGCGGAAGAGGACCGGGGTCCTGCTAAGGCAGAGCTGCCCGCCGCGCCTGCGCGCTGCTGCCCCAGCGAGTGGAGGGCCGCTGCTGGGAGGAATTTTCGGCAGGCAACGGCCAAGACACCTCAGCCCGAAGGCGGAAACAAGGCGCGGAGGCAGCACGCCCCCAGTGGGCCGGGGAATCGTGTGCAGTGCTGCGGTGCGGTGCGCAGAGGCGCAGTGCGCTACGGGACGGCAGCTATGGCGGGGTTGAGTGGCCGCAGAGTAGAGTGCTGCAGGACAAGGGCCGGGGGAGCTCCTCTGCCTGCCGAGGAACCGGCCCGGCCGGGCGAGGCAGCTTTAGTCATCCCTGCAAGTGCCCATGTAGAAGCTCAGTTTGTTTTCCTCCATGTGGGGCTCTGTCACCCCAGAATCCCCAGGAAAGAACTGCCTGGGCTCCTCACAGGGAAAGTCTGCCAGCATGTAGGCCTTCACTTCAGTAAGATATGCAGAGAAACCACCAGTTTCCGATCTCTAGTGAGAAAGAAAAGAAATAATGTCACATTTTCACAATGAGAGAACTTGCAACCTAACAAAATCCCCATGAGAAAGCGTTTTAAATGATAAGACAGTATTGGTATAAATATTATGCTAGAATGTTCAAGTAAACCCATTATTGACAAAAAACTCTTTTAAAAAATTAAGATTAAAAAGCCGTTGGGTTGTTTGCTGGTGGGTTTGTCCCAGCAGTGGGACAGGGGCCTCCATGTCCCCTGTGTGACCGGGATGGCCGTGTCTGAGCAGCCGTGCCTGACCCCATTTTTCTTTTTGAACTGGTAACAATCTGCCAAGATCTGCTGTGCTTAGGATGACCAGCATTACATGTTTAAGCACATGAATCCTGCTTATTTACTGGATTGGTCAAAAAGAAATTGCTTTTTTAAATGGGTAAATAGAAGGCAAATTTTTCATGGGGAACAAAAACTTCAGTAAACAATATACTGTCCATGTTGTTCAATTACCTTTTTGCCTTCTTTTAGGCAACCATTCGATATGACCCATTGGGTTTACAGACAGGTAGTATGGGAATGTTAAAATTGGACTCACATTCCTTTAGTAATCCCAGTTATAATATTTTTTCTATTACTGGCCAAATTCCTTCCCTATCTTCCCTTTTCAGGGAATACTGTTTAATTCTTACTTGATGTCGCCTTTCTTTGAGTTTGACCTTGGCACGTGGAGCATTCTTTGCTTTCCCCGGCATATCGGTGGCCCATACCCCAGGGTATACCTGGTTTGTGATTTCTTCGATGATTTTCCCTTCTGTGGGAACACTAGCTAGGGATAAACTCATTATTTGTATATGCTGCTTGTCATTTACCTACAGAGTAATCTTTCCCATCTCAAATTTAATTATTGCACCCAATTGTTCTAATAAATCTCTCCCCAACAGTGCCTTTGGAGAGTTGGGCATATACAGAAATCTGTGGATGACCCATTGTTTTCCCAATTTATATCTTAGAGGTTCACAAAAATATGCCTTTTCACCTTGATCAGTTGCCCCTTTTACCATGATACAGTAATTTCCTAAGGGTACTAAAGCTTGGTTCAAAACTGAATACGTTGCTCCTGTGTCAACCAGAAATTCTACCTTCTTAACGAGAAACTCTACCTTCTTTTGCTCTTTCTCTAGCCTCATTATAACCAGTGGATCCGCTAGGGTGGAATCCTCCGGTCCTCGTCAGTCTTCCTTCACATGGGCCACTATCCTTCCTTTCTGATTACTTCATCCTTTCTCCTTATTTTTCCACTTTTCCAGACAATCATTTTTCCAGTGACCAACCCTTATGCATAACGCACATTGATCTCTGCCTAATCAAGGCCGTCCTCGTCTAGGTTTTCTTTCTTCCTCCTCCCTGACAACCGCTACCACCCTTCGTTGTCCCCACTTATAATCTTCCTCTCTATTAATGAACACTCTCTACGCCTTGTCCAACAACACTTCCAGGTTCCCGCTTTCTGTGGGGTGCAGCTTTTGAAGCTTGCGTCTAATGTCTCCTGTAGACTGACTCAAAACCAAAGAAACTAGTTGTATTCCTACCTCTGACCTAGGATTCAGTGGTGTGCTGCGGTGCATTACATCCCTTAATCGATCCAGGAATTCAGATGGTGACTTGGAAGGACCTTAATTAGCATCGTCTCCCATTAGGTCCTACTGCTTCTTGGAGAGGTGCCTGCAAAACTGTTTGTGCAGCCTTTTTCCTGGTGCAGGAGGATACAGGGCTATCCGGGGAAGTGGAGGTTCCATCTGAGTCTGCATCCTGTTTCTGTGATCGAGGGGGAGGCTTAAGCAAATCAGTTAGATCTTGTTCTGGTGCCTAGTGAATTTTAACTATCTTAATGCACTTTTGCCCAACACTGCACGCCGAGCAGCACCGCCTCAGTTTACCTTTGAGTTTTTTGTTATTTTCCCACTCAACGGCGAGTACCATAGGGTCCTGTGGCGGCACAATCTCACAGTCCTTTGCCACTCCGGATGGTTTTGGAGGGTAAAAAATCATATCGGCATATGATACTTCATCCCACTTTCTCTCTCTCCTTAAAAACAACATTAATTGCAAAACAGTATTATGATCTATTAACCCATTAAGTGACCATTTCACCCCATTCTCTAATTTGTAGAGCGGCCACCAATACTTAATAAGAGTTTTCTTATTTTCTGTACCCCCGGTTCTGATAATATCTCTCCAATGTGCCAATATGCAGCCAAGAGGGCTCTTCTTTAAGACATCCTTATTCTGAGTATTACCCATGTTCGCTTTTCTAAGTTGTTTCTTACTTTTTACTGTCCTTCTTTTTAGTGTGTGTGTCCCCCAAGATGTGTTTGGGAGTTTGACTGATTATCAAAATGGTCAGCCACACACAAACACATATCCACTTGTTTCAAAGCTAGCTTAATACAGTGTTGGTTACGACCAGTCTGAGTTATTTACTATTGGATCCACAATTTCTCATTGTTATGAATATATAACTTATACATGGTACCGAACACACCACACAAACGTTTAAGCGCTTTGTCTATCTCTGGCTTTGCCCCTCTCAGGGTCACGGAGCCACACATTAAGACTCCCACTCACTTTGCAGCGATGCTGCGTCTCAAGTACACACACACACAAACATGTTTAACATATCATACCCAGGCATTTACAAATCATTTACAAATCACGATTATTACTCCAACAGCTGCAAATATGATCAACCCCATCATATGACAGACTTTTGAGAGATTCTGCTTACCCTTCTCCTGCTTCTTATACAGTCATTAGCAGGTCTGTCTTGGCTTCCAAAAATGGAATGCAGCTATAATCTCTTGGATTTGCTCGATCTACCCCCAAGATCACTAGCTCTATCAGTCAGCAAATCCCCTCCGGCCATTTACCAACATACAGGGTTCACTTCTACGAGGACTATGCTGCACGCCAGACATCTCTACGCGAATTATCGGCGGCCCTAGCCACACGTGGGTGTCCACTACGGCTTACTGGCCCCTTCATTAAACATACTGTTTATCCGCAGCTGTAGATGGTCGTTATCTGCCCCCAAAGTGAGCGGCCGGGAAGAAGAGGTCCTCCGAGAAAAAAAAACTCAGAGGTGCACCTAGGATGTCTGCTTCTCAGTCGATCCTGTAGCCAAGCAGAACATGTCCCATCTGGAGTGTCAAATACGATCCGTGGAAAGAAGACTTCACAACCTGTAAGACTGTAAAGTAGGTATGTTTATTAAGCGCACTTGGCACATGGGAGACTTTCCTCCTAATTCATGTGTGCCTTCTGTGGCAGCTTGTCTTAACTTTTATACAGTAAAGTGTTGCATATTCATTACTATGCAAAAACGCCTATGCATATTCATAGCCTTTCCCTGAGAAAGCGGGTCTTTTCCGAGAAGTCCAGTAGTGCCTGTGCAGTGCCTCCTGATGGTCATGGGCCAGGGTCTCGGGGAGTCCTTTTCCCTGCTAAGCTCTTCACCCTTGTTCCTTGTGCATGCTCCCTGGACCCTTGACGTTTCGCCAAACCACAAATCCGGTTTATATCAATTCCTGGAATGTCAAGACGCGTCAGGCAGGACATCCTTGGCCTTATCAGGAACTGTTTGTAGCCTACCTCTCTTTACACAGTGACCTAAGATATATTGCTTAAGCAAAATAATTGCTGTCCTGTTAAATATTAAGCATTATTCCCCCAAGCTGTGTTAGCCCTAAGCTAGAATTTTCTTTATAAGTGTTACAGTTCTCTCTATTGGAGTCGGAGTCGAATGTTTGCCATTCCAAAGCAAGACTCTGGGCGTGTACTGAAAAAGCCTAGAGGAAAACGTTGGCTTCCCAGGGAAGCAAAGAAGACGAGAACCTCAGGCTTTGTGGGGCTACAGAAGCGCTTCCCAGGGAAGGTCAGGCCCCACAACAGATTTCAATCCTAGTCCCTTTGATGGCGGTCAAGTAGCCAGCAATTAACCTTTTCAAAGCTGAGCTCCACCCAGCAGCAATGAAAATCCGGAGCCAACATTGGCTTCCTAGAGAAGCACAGAAGCAAAGAGCCCAAGGCTTTGTGGGTCTACGGATTCGCTTCCCAGAAGAGATAAGGTCCAGGAACAGCCCTCACTCCTAGGATCTTAGCTGTGGCATAAGAGCTACACCGTTTCCACTTGAGAGACGGCTCCGACCAGCAGCCAAGAAACATGGGAGCGAACAGCAACTGACTCGCGAAGCACAGAAGGGCAGAGCACAAGGCGTTCTTGGACTACGGGAGCACTTTACAGGGAAGGTGAAACACAGCAACAGCTTTCAGTCCTAGACCCTTTCTTGTGGGAGTCGGAGTCCAACATTTACCATTCCAAAGCAAGACTCTGGGCTTGTACCAAAAAAGCCTGGAGGCAAAGGTTGGCTTACTAGGAAATCAAAGAAGCCCAGAACCCAGGTTTCGTAGGGCTAAAAAAATGCTTCCCAGGAAAAGTAGGGCCCCACAGCAGCTTTCAATCC